TTACATCATCCAATCCCTCCAATTCAACTCCTCACATCTCACTCGTAAGACCCGCTCATCCCCAATCGACCTTATCCTTCCGCAACATACAACCCATACCTTGCCCCTAAACTCTGGAACTCCCTTCCCCTTTCTATTCGTCACGCTGCCTCCTTTTCCTCCTTTAAATCCCGCCTGTATAATCACCTCCTCTCCCTCCAAGCAGAGACCTCACGTTAACATTTGTTATTTTTGTTTAATATTCTCGTAACTTTTTCTTCTGTCCTGCCTTATTGGTATACATTGTGCCAAGATTTCTATGTTTTTTTTACTTTTAACTTCATAGAAGGAACTTCATTTATTTATTTAATGTAAATTATTCTTCGGGGACACCAGTCCCAGAATAAAGTTATTTTTCTTCTTCTATTTACGAAGAGAATATTAATATATTATATACTATGTAATAATGTAAAGTATTGTATGGATTAATTATTATCACAACCATATTATAATATGTATTAACCAACAACTTTTTCTCTTCAGTGGCACACTTGTACAACGAAAGGTCGATACCCGGCCTGATCCAACTACCCCCGATGGTCCCATACCCCATCCAGGGCGTGGGGAAAGTGTACACGACGGGAATGGGGAACGCCGACGCCCCACCGCCATACTCGTCCATCTACCCGCCGGCTGGCAACCCCCAACCGGCCAGCATCATCATAACGACCGTCACCCCTAACCAAGAGTACAATCTGCAAAGGAGAAGGCAGAGAAACATCGCCTGCGTGATCATCGTCATTGTAACAGCCGTCATGTTAACACTAATTTTATCCATATTGAAATTTGATTGAATCAACATAAAGATTATTTATATAGAACGGTGTGTCTTTCACAGACTTAAAATTTAAACAAAAATCCCTGTTGTGAAATTATTATATTACAATTGGAAAGTTGTTACATAAATAGACTTTCATTTATAAACAAATAAAATACACTGTAACGATAAAAATACATTGAAAGAAACATTAATTCAAAATCAATGTAATTCTTTCAATTCGGTAGAACTCATACTCCATTAGAACTTAAAAACTACCTTACAGTTTGAAAAAATAGGGTAAACATTTCGAATTCATTATGCAATAAAGAAATTTAGGGGCGTCGGTGGCCGCAAGGTTTAGTCTTTGACACGGCGCTCATCACTGTAAGGTAAAGGTCCCGGGTTCGAATCCAGCGGCCCTGCATTCGAACCCGACATACTTACAAATGGGCTTTTTTTCAAAAACACCGGCACCCTGAGGGTTTGTATGACCTCTGCTGTTGTGAACCATCGTAAAAAAAAATTTAATCTCATGGTCATCATGCAAAAATAATTATCCAAAAATATATTTAAACTGAGTTCTATATAAATGTTGTATTTAAAATATTGTTTAACTGTTTAAATTTGTAAATCTGATGTTTTTTACTTGTGAAAATGATTATAGTGAAATATTTATTTTTAATTTTGTTCGATGATTGCATGAGTAATGAAATGATTGTCATAATGTTTATATAAAATGGTGCTTCATCCTACACTAATTAAAACATTCTGTATGTTAATTAGTTTATAACTGTAAAAAAAAAAGAAATTTTGGTAATATGTATTCGTTATGTATCGTACATAACAAGATTTGAGTTGTAGTTTTTAAAAATAAATTTAGGAATAATCAAAAGTTAGCCATAATAATTGTTATGGACAGAATTAGTTATATGTTAATCTTTTTGTTAATTATTTAATGGATTAATTAATTTACTTATATTTCGATTTTATCGTACAAATAATGAAAAAAAAGTCTGTATATAAAACTTCAATAGTTACTGTTTGAACGTGAAAGCTTTTTTGCAAATATATATTTTTTAATATAATCTTAATATTTGTCTCTTAAGTTTGTTTGACAATAAATTATCAAATTAATTTAATTCACTTCACTCACGAACACATATACACACTCACGTAAGTACGCACGCACGCATGCTAAAAAAGTCGGCAGCTGATAAATAAATTATTAAGTTCAGTCTAAGTTCACTGGGGAATTTTATCAGAAACCATGTAGTATGATGTAGCTCATATATGATCTTGCCTGTTTACTACGAAGGCATAAACAAAATGTATAAATATGAAAGCTGTTCTTACAGTTCAGAGACTGTCCTTGCCTCCACCAGAGCCTATATCTCTCCGATTGGCATAAAGATCGCAAAAATGTACAAGAGGTATAATATTACAAGTGGTATTTAACTGTAGGTTGAGTTGGCCAGCTGATTCTGCCATTGGCTGCATCCTGGCTGCATTTGCAGAGATCCAGTACAGGGATAGGTCGGAACAGTATTGGACATTTGCTGAAAGGGGTCAACACACAAAAATTGTTTTTACACCACCAAAGCCTCTAAAAGTGCGTGCAGTGACCGTCCATAGTTAGAACAATAGAATTTTAATCAATATAAAAAGACACATACACACACACACACACACACACACACAATGTATGAAGCGTATTGAAACGCCTTTATAATAACAACCATTCAACAATTTCCGGGAAGCTTATATCCCAGTTTTCATTATAACAAGAATAAAGTACGTGAGGCGTCATGTATAAGTTTTTAAGCAATTGCATTATAAATTGGTGAGCTTTGCTCTGAGCGGCTTTTGGACGCTTTCAAACTTTAATTTAATTTTAATCTCCCAAAGTTAAACAGAGTGGAAAAACAAGGTGAAGATGCTTGGACCGGGCTGTGTTCGTGCCAAACAGGGGTTCGGATGAAATCAACTTTTCTCATCTTGGGAGTTAACGGCTTAGCCCTCATGTAAGTTTATTTGGAAATTTTCCATTTTTACTTTTATACAAACATGGAAAATAAGAGTACGCGAATTTGAACGAATTGAATATTTTTGACTTTTGTCATATTGAGATAATATGTGAACAAAATTCCGTTCATATTCTTAAAGGGTTAAAGAGTTAATTTGAAATTGTTAGGATGGCATTAAGAAACATAGAGTAGGCTTCATCTTTTACGTTCGATGATGAATTACTTGACAACCACTTGCTGATTATCGACTAGATCGGACCTCAAATGATATGGCAAGTTAAGATCATCAAGATATAGTCAGCACAAATTCGCCCCTTTGATTCTCGACTACGAATTTCAACAAAATGTATGCAGAAAAATCATCCCATTTGAGATGTACCCATGGAAATTGTTTTACACTTAAATATATTCTTCGAAAAAGAGCGGGTTATCGATCACTCCCTGCTTATATCCTAAAGTTTCACTACTTAAGTAAAGTTTAGTTTAACACAATCGATTAGGTTTCGTGGTCCGATTATTTTCAATTAATTAATCTTTAAGATACGTATTGGTTGAGATAAAAAAGTCAGTGTCACGAGCGGGATTTGAACCCACGACCTTCTGCTAAATACGCACTTGAGCTATCGTGGCTTCGATCCACTCGGACACCAACTCCTCAAAAATGGCAAAAAGGATGTAAAATTCGAAAGGTTGTAGGTTGAGATGGGGAGTTGGTGTCCGAGTTGATCGAAGTCAGGATGGCTCAAGTGGTAGAGCAGCAGCGTATATAGCCGAAGGTCGTGGGTTCGAATCCCGCTCGTGACACTGACTTTTTTAACTCAGATCCAAGAAATCACAATGACTTTAGAAACATCCAAATTAAATGATGTTAATGATAACTGATCGTAATAACAACAGAAGAACATTAACCAACGATGTTTGTCTCGGGCAGCTATTTAACACAGAACTCCCAAGCCTGGTAGTTAGCGTGCCCGGCCTTAAGCCAGAAACACAATTACCCGATTCTACGCCATGCGACGCTACCCGATGGCCGATACTACCCGACGCAAATCCAAACTCCGATTTTCCATAAGGTTGCATTACCCCCGTGCACATCTATCCGATGCTACCCGACGGAAATCCAAACTCCGATTTTCCATAAGGTTGCATTACCCCCGTGCACATCTATCCGATGCTATGCCACGCTAACCTACCCGACGCTCTGCGATCCCCACTGTCCAGATTTTCGTAGGGGCGCATAGAGTACAGTCGACGACGAAAGAATCGGACGCTCATATTTTTATTCAAACTGCATGTATTATTGTCGTTATATTAATTGCAACATACTTATTATAATATAAACCAAATTAACTGTGATTAAAAATTAATTAAAACACCGGAATACGATTTTTTGATATAATGAATTTAACTAACAATTTATTGTACTCGCTTCGGCGGTACATATACTAAAATTGGAACAATTTATTACACAGTTTTGCTCATAAAATTTAATTATCAATTTATTTCATAGTTTGGCTCGTAAAATTAACCATTTTCTAATGTCGGGTAGCATCAGAACAGGTCACTCATATTTTTTGTAGTTTATTTCAAACTAAGTACATGTAATTTTGTCGTTATATTAATTACAACATGTTATTTTAATGTAAACCAAATTAAACGAGATCAAAAATGCATAAGTTTTTATAAACATTGTTTAATTAGATGGTTAGAAGTGACTTTATTTAAAACAATTAAGTTTAACAAACAATTTATTAGATGGTTGTGCTCATAAAATTTAACTAACAATTTGTTACAAGGTTTTGCTCAAAATAGTGCATTAAGAACAAAAGATGCGTTGCATTTGTGATCGGGATTATTGTGATAAACGCTGTGGACTGTACGCGACGTGTACTTGCGTCGGGTAGATGTGCACACCCCACCAAAACGTGGCAAGGCGTCGGGTAGCGTCGCATGGCGTAGCATCGGGTAAGTGTGTTCCTGGCTTTACCCCCTTTATATCCCTCAAGTGGAATTATCTAACAATTTTTCTTCTTTTTTGAAACAGGCAATGACAACTATGCAAAGTATTTTAAACATTATCATATCAACAACAACATCAGAAATAACATACGTCCAGTATGTAGTGAAACATGTACCTCTGCCGGTGTAATCATTTAAACATCTTGACTCGCCCTGTTTCTATCCCTGACGACAGGTTCAGTAAATGAAGTGTATTTAAGAACAGAAGACAAAACCACTTCTCTTTTCACGAGAGCAATGTTAAATCTGAATCTGAAACAAGTTACCTTTTAGCGCGAAGATAAGGTATGTAGTTAGTAATGGTTTATATTTTCGTTAAATACAAAAGTCAAAGTGGAAAAACGCAACAAACCATTTTTTCAGACCCTGTAAAGCCTTCTTTGGCCTCCACTTCCGATATTAGTTGCGTATTCACACAGAAGAAGCCAATTTCAGTATTGAGAATTTATATGTATTGCTGGATCCCCAATTCTTAACCCTTCAAAGGGTTAAAAAAAGGAGATTTTTCCCCTCAATTCCAGAATAACGGAATTGAGGCAAACCTTTCACCATCATAAGCGTCACGAGGAATCCCAGCCTCCATTCCTTTCGTTTAATTGGATAGCAAGTTTTCATAGAAATCCAATTTGCAGAGATCAAACAGATACCACAACTCTCAGATAATTGCGCTTGTTAATTGGATTTCATTAACCTAACGATAACGACTCCAAATAATAAAAACAATTGTAATACCTCTTTTGACGTAAATTAAAATCTGATTTTAAAGTTTAACATTTGAGCATTTAAGCAAATGTTCGTCGACTACACTTCTAAAAAAACATAATAATTTGTTAGAAAACAACCACAATCTCTCTCTCTCACACACTCTCTCTGTCTGTCTGCCTCTGTCTCCCTCTCTCTCTCTCTCTCTCTCTCTCTCACACACACACACACTCTCTCTGTCTGTCTCTCTCTCCTCTCTCTCCTCTCTCTCTCTCTCTCTCTCTCTCTCTCTCTCTCTCTCTCTCTCTCTCTGTCTGTCTCTCTCTCCTCTCTCTCCTCTCTCTCTCTCTCTCTCTCTCTCTCTCTCTCTCTCTCTCTCTCTCGCTCTCTCTCTCTCTTTCTCTCTACCTATCTCTTCCTCTATCTGTCTACCTGTCTATCTTCTATCTATCTTTCTATCTACCTATCTACCTATGTATCTATCCAGCTATATATCTGTCTCATTTAAACCGAATATAAATTCAAAGGAAATTCGGTGTTTTTCTTTGGCCTAAGACGAGTGAAAGGGTATTAACTTTGATTGATATTTGAAAAAGTACGGATGTCAAATATCTCCTGTTAAAACTGTTAATTTCTACTTTCTGCAATCGTATTGATAAAAATCTTCAAAATAAAACAGCATGCGTGCCTCTCATTAAACCGAGTCCTCATGGCGAGTGTTTATAATTAACCGGTCTCCCACGTTGACGTCGTCGGCTTAATCCCGAGTGATCTACTTTTACAAACCTTACGTATGGTTAAACCGCGATTAAAACGCACATGTGATTTTTTGTTCGTGAGTACTTTGATTATAACGTTCAAAAGTTGATACATTATTTTTACTGTATCTGTGTCTTTCTTATCGATAATCCAAACTAAACGATTCTTAGTGAGATGTTTTTTAATCATAAATTAAAGAATAAAAAGTTCCAGCAATTAACGCAACTCTGACTTATTATAATTATAATCGAATTTTATAGTTACCAACTGTAACAAGTTGTTACAGAAAAGATAGATTGGAACTTTTGTTTGTATTTTATCTCTTTCTTTCAGGTATTATCCTAGGATGTTTATTTCCAGAAGAGATTTTGTGGGATTATATCTTTGGTCGTACCCTTGAAAAAAAATACATTCATTCTTCACGTAAGGACTTGACGCGTGCGATTCAAATAAAAAGGTAAGTTAATTTAAACGGAAAAAATTACAAAACAACTAAACTAATTAGTTAATAATTAATTATGTACATGGACATTGAATGCCATGAAAAATAATAATAATAAATCACATGGGTATATTTGAACCCTTTATATCACTTGTTCTATCTACTAATTTATATGGCTTCTTTCTCCTGCTCTACTTTTAAAATAACATCAAGTTCTTCTTTAGATTTAACAATTTTTGAACGTCCAAATGTCAACTTTTTAAAAAATAGCATAGATTTATAAAAATAACTTACATCGAAATAAACGAGGTAATAAAAAGGATAGGTTCAGTTCAATTCAGAAATTTACAAAAAAATATGAAACCGTCATCATTTTTAAGACAATGATGATAACAGAAATTAGAATACCCTTAAAAACCTGTTTTCTCATGTTAATCGTGCCATGCAAATTTAAACAGGACTGACAAAGCCCGTATAATTTACGTTTTAAAAACGTTTTTTCTAATTAATGTATGCATGCTTTTCGTGTTTACCACCGTATGGACATGTATTATTGCCCTTTGAAATGCCCTCTCCACTTTTTTTATACATTTTCTTTTCAAAATCGTTCAATTTTGTTAAATTAAGTTAAATTTAATTATGGAGTATTACTGTGAATTACAACGTGATAAACTTTGAAACCAATAAATCACAAAATTATCTACATTTTAAATAATATTTGATTGGTTTTATGCAGTTAGAAAATAATCGTTTTATGACCTTTATAAAACATATAAATTAAATTTATCTCCGCCCAAACCTCAATTTTGGCATGTCTGAATCCAAAATGCTTTTTGGTGACAAGTATAAGATACAAATTATTTATAATATATAATAAACTGATTGTGATTTAGTTCTTTTTTACATTACAGCAATAAAACGTTAATTATAATTAAGTATCTACTTATTTTGGCAATTATTATTTCAATCATTTGGAATTTTGTTCAATAGAAAAATATGAAATGATACATGATTAAATGAATGACACGACATTTGAAAAATGCCAAAAAGGAGGGAAAATTGGAAAGGTAGGTTGAGATGGGAAGTTGGTGTCCGAGTGAATCGAAGTCACGATAGCTTTAGGATTTAATAATATGAAATAATTTTTTTCAATGAATGTTTCAAAAATAAAGAATAGTTTGTGTTTTCAAATTCAATTTTCCTCCTTATTTTCTTTTAATTACTTAAATAATTACATTTGCAACCAACACTGCACACATCCATAGAATCGCCGCTATTAATTGAACTTTTTTTACGATAAAAGGTTAAAAATATTACATACGTGTTTGACTGTTTAAAAATAATATGTAGATTTCTGCTTTTGTTTTCCATGTATCTCAGGGATGTGTGTGCGTGCGTGCGTGCGTGCCTGCGTGTGTGTGTGTGTGTGTGTGTGTGTGTGTGTGTGTGTGTGTGTGTGTGTGTGTGTGGTGTGCACCCTTTAAAATCCTTAAATAGGAATTTTAATAACTAAAAACTTTTTAGCAGGATGCGTAGTGTTCCGGTCATAAAAATTAATAATTAGAAATAAATATATATGTTTTTATTCTTTTTTTAACGTAAGACAAGAAAATAATAAGTAGGATCGTATTAAGTGAGTTTAGACATATAAAACGTTATAAAAATGAAAACAAAAACGCTTCCAGTAAAATAGAACATACAATTTTTTTAAATTAGGATTTGTTTTAAGCACCCTTTAAAATCTTTAAATAGGAATTTTAATAACAAAAAAACTAAGAACTTTTGGGCAGGATGCGTTGTGTTCCGGTCTTAAAAATTAATAATTAGAAATAAATATATACGTTTTTATTACTTTTTTTTTAAACGTAAGACAAGAAAATAATAAGTAGGGTCGTATTAAGTGAGTTTAGACATATAAAACGTTATAAAAATGAAAACAAAAACGCTTCCAGTAAAATATAACATACAATTTTTTTAAATTAGGATTTGTTTTAAGCACCCTTTAAAATCTTTAAATAGGAATTTTAATAACAAAAAAACTAAGAACTTTTGGGCAGGATGCGTATTGTTCCGGCCTTAAAAATTAATAATTAGAAATAAAGAGATCAGGATTGAGAATGGAAAGAAAATCCATAATTCGTTAGTAATTTTCTTAGTATGTTGTATTATGTAAGTCATAAGGGCAATGAATATACTGCGGAAATCAGTACATAAAATTCTTCGCTGTCCGTTTTTTTTTTTTTTTTTATATGAATATAAAAAGTTTTATTACTTTTATCAATTATTTTGACCAATTGTTATTGTGTTTGATTAGTTATTAACCGGTTATAACGACGATTTTGTTTCAGATGTCCTACGTCAATGACCAACAAGGAGAATCGTCTCTGAAAGTGACGAAAATACCAGTGGATCCATACAGACAAGCAAAGGTTTACGCCATAATTGATCCTCCGCAGTTTACACCTAGCAGTTTCGTCCCTACTCCTCCATCGCCTCCACCTACATTTTCATCGCGTGTATTTTATTCCGGTGAGTCTCCGGAGGAAAAATTACTTCGCAAATTTCGAAAAAAGGTCCTTGCTTGGTTTGTGATCGCGGTCATACTATTCATCTTATTCTGCAGTCTTGTTAACTTTTTTACACGGCGCGCTAAAGATGAAAATTAATCTTAAGGTACAATGTATCGGGATAAGGGTTTTATTTTAAATTTTATTTTTACAAAAGGCTTGAAAAAAAGAATTTATATATTTCAATGCTTTTATATCACAATTTTTATACCGTTCAATCAATATATAATATTATTGTATATTGTTGCATTAGCATTGATCTTTTAATAGATAAAAAATTTGAATTTTATTCATGATTTATTTTAAAAAATCACTCAAAAATAACAGCATTAACTTTACATACAAAAAAAAATAAATAAACGCACAAAGCAATAATACAATAGTTCAAATGTATAATTAACTGAATTGAAATATATATATATTTGCCATATATCATTTATATATATAAATTATATGTGGTGAAAAGGAGTTTTATTCTTTAAAAAATTATATTTTAAAACATGAATATGGTAAAAGGTTTATATTATAAATTATATTTTTTTTTAATTTTATATAATTAATAGTTCTACATATGTTATTCTAAATTTTTTATGTAATCACAAATTTTTAATAAACGTCCATTATGTTGAAATTTAACAATTACTGTAACATAATGATTTTATTGCGGATAATTTGAAACTATGAAACAAGCATTGTTTTGTTTTCAAAATAACTAAATGTAACAATAATGAGTCATCCTTCAGTTATGAACGTTTTTAACTTTTTTCAGTACGAATTGCTATTTAAAATTTACACTGGGGAAAGCTCAATTCATATTATCATAAGATTGTTCGTAATTCTGAACACTGGCAATTATCTTATAGAACATACATAAACACAACTCATATAATCATGTTTTCTCTCAACCTATCTCGTAGAATGAAATATTGTAGACTATTTTATTTTTATTGAAATTAAACATATTATCGATGTGTGAAATGGGGTGTGTGCTTGGAATTTTAAAATAATATTATTATGTTTTATTCTTTAAACAAATGTTTCAAAAATTATATTAGAAAAACTAAAATGGATATGGTAAAAGGTTTATATTATAAATTATATTATTTTTTATGTTTTATATACATAAGTATAGTTCTACATATTCTCTTCCAAATTTTTTATGAGATAACATAATTTTATATAAATTCCCATTATGTTAAAATTTTACAAATTATTAATACAGGTTGAGTTTTTAATCTGACAATTTAAAACTATGACAACTAGCCTAGTTGTAGTATTTTTAAATTACCAGAATGTATCACTGAATTATACTACAATTATGAATGATTTAACTTTTTTCCATACGAATTGCTATTTCAATTTTTAATTTTGGCAAAGATCAAATTGTTATCTTAAGATTGTTCGTAATTCTGAACACTGGCAATTATCTTATAGAAATTACATGTACTCGTTTCATAGAATCATGTTATCTCTCAACTTATGGAATGAAATATTGTAGGCTACTTTATTTTATTGAAATTAAATATATTCACGTTGTGCAAAATGGGGTGTGTGCTTGAAATTTTAAAATAATATTATTATGTTTTATTCTTTAAAAAAATGTTTAAAAAATTATATTAGAAAAACTAAAATGGATATGGTAAAAGGTTTATATTATTTTTTATGTTTTATATACATAAGTATAGTTCTACATAATCTCTTCCAAATTTTTTATGGGATAACATAATTTTATATAAATATGTTAAAATTTTACATATTATTAATACAGGTTGATTATCTAATCTGACAATTTAAAATTATGACAAGTATTCTTAAAATAACTGAATGTATCTCTTAATTATACTACAATTATAAATGATTTAACTTTTTTCCATACGAATTACTATTTAAATTTTTTAATTTTGGCAAAGATCACTTTGTGTTATCTTAAGATTCTTCGTAATTCTGAACACTGGCAATTATAGAAAATAGTTTCATAGAATCATGTATTCAGGTTATTTCTCAACTTATCCCGTGGAATGAAATATTTTAGACTATTTTATTTTTATTACAATTAAATATCTATTTATAGTGTGTGAAATGGGGTGTGTGTTTGAAATGTTAAATCCAAAATAAAAAATTCTATAATAACGATTGTGGTGTTTATGTTGTCAATCCTCCCCTCCATGTTGGCCGTATTGGTCATTTCCCAGCAAATGAATTTCATACTTTTTTAAACATTTTACCTTAACAATTCACTTTATGCAGGTAAACTATTGGAAAAAAATTAAATAATAATTTGTCTGCCTGACCAGATATAATAAACGTAGTTGTTATTGGTTAAGAGTCTTAGGCAGATTAGTTTAACTAACAACTAAATGATTGTATTATTGAATCAATCCAGACCATTCGATTAAAGATTCTCTCGGTTCGACTTTTGTTGTTCAATTTTTGTTCAATGAAATCTGTCGTCAGTATCATTGGTTCCACAGAATTGATCAATTTGAAGTCAAGATTGAACCAGCTATACTTTTTCATTCAAGTTGAGACTTCTGATCAAATGATGATAATTCATTTCAAGTTGAAACATGACTTGAAACGGGTGAACATGTCAGTTCCCAGTTGAACATTTCCTGTTTAACTTTTACACTACGCGTGCTGTTTTATTTCTTATATTTTATTATTATTTTATTTTATTTTTATTATGTGTGGTGTTTAGTGACCGTTACTTGATGATTATTTGGAGGCCGTGAGATGCGGTCTGGTGTGAGGTAGGTTTTAGAAAAACATTTTCTTTATCGTCCCAACGTTTCGATCTTTATTGAGATCATCTTCAGGGCCTGGGATTTATAAACATTGTTAAAGTCTTACAAATACATGTAGGATGTGAAAAAAAATTTAAATTTATACAATGCTAGAAAATTTTAGATTCTAGATTTGATTATTTTTAATCTAAAATTTTCTAGCACTGTATAAATTTAAAAAAAATTCACATCCTGCATGTATTTGTAAAACTTAAACAATGTTTATAAATCCCAGGCTCTGAAGATGATCTCAATAAAGATCGAAACGTTGGCACGATAAAGAAATTGTTTTTCTAAAATCTACGTCACATCAGACCGCATCTCACGATCTCCAGATAATCATTTTTTATTACATTTTTTATTTATTTATAAACTAGTTTAAAATTAATTAACCACAAGTAAAATTGACGTGATACTCAAATCAGTTGAATTTATTAAGTTAAATACATATAGAATTGCCGGATTTATTGTCAAATAGAATATAATTTTATTTACAATTCTTAGAACAAAATTTATATACAAATTATATGCGTATAAAAACCAAAAATTACATATGTACGAGGAACTACATATGCAGGAGGAAAGGAAACGAGGAATCAGTAAGATTTTTCGCACGCTTTTATTCTTACTGCAAATTTTAGAAAAATATAACGAAAAAATAACCCAGAACTATTTCCCATGGCATGGAGAGTTGTTAGAAAAATATTAAGGAAGCCCAGCATGCCACGAAAATAGGTCACTTCTGAAAACTCCCTGAACGAAAAACCCATAACAATCCAAATTTCCTCCAGTGCTCACAAACCATTTGCATTAAATCCTTTAAGAACTTCCCCTGAGAAATACGCTTTCCAATTGTCCGCACTAGCCTCTGACGTTCGGGAAATTATCTTAAATGGAATACTACGGAAATGGTTGACAAACTAGGCCTAACGCTACATAACCCAGTAACGAAAAATCACACGAATATTCAAAACCTTCACAATCAACCAGACATGGACAAAATATTGGTAAGAATTCATTATTTTTCGTGGTCCGCTTGGCCAATTAATAACATTCAATTAATTAAGGTTTTAAGTTGAGATAAAAAAGTCAACTCTCGATCTCAACGTATTAAATTCGAACGGTTGTAGGTTGGGATGGAGAGTTGGTGCCCGAGAGGATCGAAGTCGCGATAGCTCAAGTGGTAGAGCAGCGGCGTATGTTGTGGGTTCGAATCCCGCTCGTGACACTGACTATTTTATCTCAACTTAAAACCTTAATTAATTGATTGGTAAGGATTTTCAGTTTGTATTATTTCTAAATTTAGACATTAGTCTTTTATCTTACCACCTGTACCTTTGCCACAATGATCGTCAACTATTACGGTAACGTTTGTTTAAACTTTTAGAAAATCAATTATTCTTTTTACGTAAGGTCTCGGTTGAGATAAAAAAGTCAGTGTCACGAGCGGGATTCGAACCCACGACATACGCCGCTGCTCTACCACTTGAGCTATCGTGACTTCGATCCTCTCGGGCACCGACTCTCCATCCCAACCTACAACCGTTCGAATTTAATAGGTTGAGATGGAGAGTTGATGTCCGAGAGGATCGAAGTCACGATAGCTCAAGTGGTAGAACAGCGGCGTATGTCGTGGGTTCGAATCCCGCTCGTGACACTGGCTTTTTTTATCTCAACCAAGACCTTATATAAAAAGAATAATTAATTGAATGAAGTAACTTGGTCAATTGACCACTAAAACGTAAATGAATTAACTTTAAAAAAATGTTTGATTGCTTCCTATTAAATGAACTGAACTTTGAGAGATGGCAGAGTAAACAAAAAATTATAAAAGATAAAATGTATTAATCGTGCATATATTTGTGTATTACTTATGAGATTGTAAATTTATGCAGTATGTTTAAAAAATAATTTGTCAGTTTTCACTGAAGTGAGTTAAAAGTTGGATTTTAGAACAGATGTGTTTGTGTTATTTCATTACAGTGGTGGGTTTTATTTGCCTTTCTTCGGTGCGATGGCCGTTGAGTTTCTTCCGAATGAAATTACTCCGAAGTGCCATGCCATATAGAGAGAAACTAGCAATACTACCAACCAACAAACGCAACAGAGCAAACAACACGTGATCCACAATGACTGCTTTTCCTGTTCGATATGATGCATCCTCTCCAGTAATTTGTCATCGAAAATTATGTCATCTTCTTCCAAGATGCTGATATCCCTTCCTGTCGCTTGGGCCAACCACATTAGATATTCGTTGTCCCGGTGAAGAATCTGGTTTCGGTTGCAACCGAAAAGCCATTGGTTGACGTTGTAAGATCCGTAATAGGGCGGGTATGGATAAACTACTTCCTGGGTAAACATCCTTTCGTCCTTTCTCGACCAATGTCAACACGAGGCCAAAGAAGATATTCTCAAAAAGAGGTACTAGGGTGATTAGGAAAGAAGTTATTTCTTACACACAGGATTCTACTTACTCTTATGAGACATCTATTTAAAAACTCACAATAAATGTACTAATGGACACATGTTTCTTTCATTCTAATTTGTTTTTGTTTTTGTTTTATAATTTGTAGTGCGTTACTATCTTCAAATAGGTAACATGTAACAATGAGCTAGGTAATATACACAAAATTAAAAACAAGAGTGGAGAAAATACCCATTGGTATTACTCCAATGTTAATAAAATATTGTCTGTTTAATAGATATTTGTGTCATTATCACTTTCACTTTCTTGACCATCACTTCCTAGGCGATCTCGCGGCCATTCTCTTCAGTAGGTGATGAGGGTTCGAGGGAATTTGTCGGGATGCGAGGTTTCTGATGTGCTGAGTTACGGTAGTTGGGAGGTTTTTATAAAAATTTAAATTCTGATATTTAAAACCGAAACTATTGTAAGAATCCATTATGTTTAGTGGTCTGATTGACCAGATTACTTCTTTCAATTAATTATTCTTTCTATGTAAGGTCTTGGTTGAAATAAAAAGTTAGTTCACGAGCGGGATTCGAACCCACGGCCTTCGGCTCAATACGCCGCAGCTCTAACCACTCGAGCTATCGTGAATTCGATCCACTCAGATACTACATCGGAAATTTCGAAAGGTTGTAGGTTGAAATGGGGAGTTGGTATCTGAGTGGATCGATGTCACGGTAGCTCAAATGGTTAGAGCAGCGGCGTATTGAGGCGAAGGTCGTGGGTTCAAATCCCGCTCGTGAACTTTTTCATTTCTACCAAGACCTTACATAAAAAGAAGAATATTGTAAGACTGTTGGAGTATACATTTTTTGAAATAAGTTTTCGTGTGTTTTCACAAAGAGACTGCATGATCTGGCTTAAAATATATAAAATATCAATGAAGAAATTGGAAAAAAAAATGTACAATTTGTATTTATAAGTTTTCGTTACACGTGGCCTCTCAGATGGGGAGTAAAATAACGGAGAAAATCTTGAAACTAACATTGTCTTCTTCGTGTATTTTTTACTGACCGTACACTTTTAAAGTAAATTTCAAATGTACGGCAGGCAATTGATTTACCCTTTTCCACCCTATTATGGATATTATAACTATTACCAATGGCTTTTCGGATGCGGTGTACCAAACAAGCCAAAACCGCAAGGGGCAAATAATCCCAATGCTCCCGATTCGAAGCCCGGTAAAGAATCCCAAGAAGAGTCACAACCGCTGAATTTTTTTTCGGGAAGCGAAGACAATGATGAACAGAGCGAAGGCGGTAATAAACAAAAAAAAAGTTCAAAGAAATATATTATTATTATTATTGTCCTGATTGCTATAATCGTAATAATCGGAGTTGTAGCTTTATACGCCTTGAGTTCTCCCTGAAACAAGGCCGGAAACGATCATTCGAATCTTGACATATGTAATTTTGTTTTGTTTTTTGTATAAATATTTAGAAATAAATGCAAATTTGACGCAATGTCCCATCCGTTAAGTCCGACTAATCATTATTTGCCCGGGCTCTATCCTTACGGACCGTACGGTTATTTTACTGAATACGAATGGAAAAATCTCGCCAAGTATCCATGGGGGAGGTTGTGGAACCGAAACATCCCACTGAGACAAGAGATTCCAGTGATCGCACGAGAGCCATCGCCAGACGATGACGAAGTCCAAGAAATGTATGCTAAGTCCAATGCTTTACGAATTGCGCTAATCATATTCACCCTTGCTTTCATCGCAATGCTCGCAGGATTTTTTTCCGCCATTTTCATCCTATGGAATTACAACTGGTTAAAGTGTAGAAACGAAGCTGGGCAGGCGACGACGATGACAAAATAACCGTAAACATATCCTATATCCGATGGCTTGTGGAATCATTAGTTATTTGTTTTTCGCTCTTCAATACATATGACAATTTTTAAGTTCCAAGTGTACCAGTGCCAATAATGATCCCCGAAACGCCTAATATGCCCAGTGGCTTCCAAGCCCCCGGTGCCTATCCGTACGGGTTACACGGTTATTACACCCATTACCCTTGGAAAATGGTGTACGACGGATCTAAATATGTACCAGAGGAGACGGCGGTGGCACCTGTCGCCGAAGAAGTGGTAGTACCGTTTCTCAGCAGACGCCAAATATGCGTCATAATTATCATAGTTTCTGTTGTGTTCTTCATTTCAACCGGTGCGTCCTTAAAGGTAATATACGAGTTAAACTGGTTTACATGCGATAATGCTACAACAACCGAAGCCCCGACGAAGAAACCATAATCAGGCTACGAATAAACATTCAAGCGTGACAAATGTGTTCATTAAGTTGGTTTTCTTAAATGGATGGTGAAGGAACTGCGTCTGAACATATAAACATAACATATTAGTCCATTCATAAAAAATTTGAGAAAAAAAATTTTGTTTACTAAATGTCTGGAAGTCACTTTCCATCCAAACCTTCCGCTAGTCTAGTAGTTTATTTTTCTACTATTAAACTACTCATTTGCGTAGAACTTTTCTCCCAATTCTGCTTGCCTTCCTGACGGATGTGATCAAAACAATTTGAAAAGTGATTTTTGTCTACTGAAAACATATGTTGAATTGCAAAATTGGGTTAACTATATTATTAAAGATTAGGCGGCTCATCTGGGGGGCATGGAAGTGTGAATGGGGTGCCTGCACAGGAAACAAGCTCCTCGCAATAAAGAAAGATGTAAAGAAATGGGAATCCTCTTCCAGACCCTCCCGAAAAGAAGAAACCCTCCTAACCCGGCTTCGAATTGGCCACTCCCGACTCACCCATAGATTCCTCCTTGAAAGAACTCCTAAACCTATATCTGTAAAACTACCATCACAATATCCCACATCCTAATAGATTGTCCTTTATACACCTCTAAAAGAACCCTCCATCAGATTCCCAAAGACCTCCAATCCATACTAAGCAACAACTCAACATCAATAAACAAAATTTTTAACTTCTTAACAGACATCCAACTAATTGATAAAATCTGATATCCCATCCCCTCAACTCTTGTTTCCTTTGCTGGTTCCCCATGTTTGCGGTGGGGTGCGGCTGACTTCTGGCGACGCCCGTGCGGGGCCACGGGTGCTGGTCGGTCTTGGGCTGGATTGAGGGGTGCCTCCCCGGACTCTGAGGTCAAGGAATCTCCAACGAGCTTAGAGGAGGTGTCGATGGTGACTAGACACCGACCCCTCCTCGATAAAGTCCTGCGCGCAATATTAAGACTAAAAGCATCAGTTGCGAGAGATCCGTGGGGTTCCGTTCTTTCTAGGCCTGGGGCTGCCACTGCGCCGGGGTCTGCGGGGGCCTCGCTCTGAGGGGGCCGGGCTGCGCCGTTAACTTGCACAGACTCAAGGCTTAATGACCAATAAGGTTTCAGCCTTTAAATTATTTTAAAAAAAAAAAAAAAAAGATTACTGTAGGTCATGTTCTGTTGTCATGTTTTCTGAAGATAATGTTTTCTGTTGTAATTACATATCCTTTTTAAAAGGATTGAACTAAAAACTAACACCACCATTCATCATTTCGACCAATTATGTATAGTCTCTTCTTTCTGGTGAAATATGTATATTTTTCTTATTTTAATAACTAGTGTTTCTGATAAAGAAATTGTTCCCCCCATTGAGGCGTAGGGATTTCTCCCTTTCGCACTTAGATTGCCGTTTTTTCTAATGGATTCCTTGCAAGATTTTTGGTTATTTAATGGAGTAAAGAACTCTTCTTTGGGGAATGGTACCAAGGTCTGTTCAAGAGCAGTTTTACCAGGTCCCAACACCTTTTCCTACCAATTGCAGGGCAGTTGTACTGAATTTGATCAGTTATCTCTGTCTCAGACATTTGATGAGTCTGATTGTTCAAGGTGATTGTTACTTGAGCAGGTCCTGTGAATACAAGTTAGTTTTTAATTATTTGCTGGCGAAAGATTTCCTCTTTTCCAATTGGAAAAAGTGAGTAGTCTTTTTGCTTCTTCATGCCTGGTTTACGTTGCCAGTATTTGTTTTCTTTAGTCACACAAGATTCGACGTCTTTTAATATGGTTATAGATTATACCACAATATGAATTTGGGCCTTTGAGTTATTTCTAGGCTTCATTTTTAGCAAATATGCTTTCTCATTCCCTCATGACCTGGTTGGCACCTTAGGCTATTTGCAGATCCGAATTTTTTTTTAACTATTCAGACAGTTCCTGGTGAACCTTTTGACCTGCCTGGCTAACTGAAAGTACGATTATTGTTGCACCCTTGATATGTTTATTATTTATTTCATGTATACATGATTCTGTGGCTAGCAGATCGCCTTGAAAAGTGGTTGCGGTGGAGCCTCTTTACCGTGGTCTATACTCGCTATGCGCATAATGGTAGGTAACGTCTACAAATTTATCTCCCTGCAGATCATGGAGAAATTTCACAAAACGTTTAATGACTACAATAAACTGAAATTAATTAGCATCTTCAACTACCTCGGACAATTATGACATATTTTTGCGGGTAAAATCGTTTGTGACTAAAGCAGTTCGAAAATTTTGCCGGTAAATCAGGCCAAACCGTTACCATCGGTCCGCTATATTCTCTTTTTTTAGTTTTATTTAAAATTTGCCCTATAGAATTAACTATATTAAACAAATGAGTAGTTAATTTAGAAATGTACTTGACTTGTATAATCTTACGTAATAGTGACTTTTCGATGTAAGTATAACTAAGCCCACATTGGTTACTCGTTATCACTTAACATGAGATCAATAGGATGAGGATTTTGAGGAAGTATGGCCGAAGGCTGGGCTAAGAGACCGGGAAGACCGGTGAGTGAGGAGTGGAATTTGTGGTATCACAATCGTGAGACACGTAAATCGTGGAGGATTAAATAAGAGCATTTGAAATAACACAGAGGTTTTTAAATTGGAACGATTGGATTTGAAAGGAGTGGGATGCTTTGGCTGAGCTTAATGCAATAATTCCATGTCGATTTGACTAGTCTGTTGTATATTAGTCTTTTATTGTTAGGGGGTAGTTTGGATCGTCCGTCTAATAGACAGGGACTCTTCAGCAAAAACCTAAGAACAGTAAGATGAGACTAGGGAATGTACGGCCATTGTGGAGAGAAAAATATTTTAATGATTAGTCAGCAGGCTACATTATGTAAAGGATGGACTTTCTTGGGGGAAGAAAAAATTCACAATTTTAATTAAGAGTAAGAGATATCAAATAAATATGTTTTTAATGAGTCTCCCGTCCAACAACATACTTTTGGGCTGCTCGTCCATTGGAACCGAACTACGACGGCCGTTCAATAGCCGAACTATTTGACCAAACGGACGACCGGCAATATAGCCGAACGCCGTCGTTCCTCTGTAGCCGATTTTCGTCAGTTCATGACACAGCCCAGATGGATGTAGAAGATTTGTTGCTGCTCGAAAATTCTTAGTTTACATACAAATGGAATGAAAGAAATAAACAAAAATATTGGAAGTTCCATTTCTAAAGCTATCCTTGACCACAGCTTACGCTGGACTTCTCTCCGATGATAGAGTGGATCACGCATGTCCCAAGAGCCTGCTTAACTGCACTTATCAATTTTTCGCAATCCATCGAAATGAAAACGAAACGGAAAGTTAAGCAAAAAGCAAAGAACGGCGTTAAACAACGGTGAGCGTTTGATGTCACGTGGTTGACAGTTGAAGTCGAAGTAACCATTCCGCCGAATAGGACTGGAAAATCCAACTTTATTTGGATCGGAAAGAGCTTCGGCCGTACACGGCCCAACACGACCGAACGAAATGGTTCTAATGGACGCGTGCTCATTCATTTCTTCGCTCTTGGATCATTCGGCCCTATTCGGCCGTGCAACACGGCTCCAGTGGACGGCCTACCTCACCCACACCAACGGATGCGCAGTAACAATTTGAAACAGGTTTCAATGATAAATCAGGAATTAATTTTGAAGTTCATCTGCACAGTTCCATCAATATTTTTATTGTTCATTTGTCATCGAGAATCGAATAGATTACATGACATTTGAAAAATGGCAAAAAGGAGGAAAAATTCAAAAGGTGCGGTTGAGGGAAGTTACTGTCCCAGAGGATCAGAGGTCACGATAGCTCAAGTGGTAGAGTAGCGGCGTATCTAGCCGAAGATCGTGGGTTCGAATCCCGCTGGTGACACTGATTTTTTTATCTCAACTAAAAACCTTAATTAATTGAAATATATTAATTGGTCAAGCGGACCACGAAAACTAGTGAATTTAATATTTTTATTTGTACGTTAATCAATTCACAAACAAAATATTAATTTTTAAGCCCATGTGTTTTAACTTATTTCGAAAAATTTTGGATAAAACCTGAGCGTCGGTCTTTATTAACATTTTTGGCAACTTCTCACATCAAAGAAAATCTCTTGTTAATAAAAACCATTGTGCAGTTTTGTGGATAAACCCAATTTTGAAGATTGATCTTCTAAGTACTGTTACTCTGTTTTGCTATTTCAGTAGTAATCATGTAGATATGTTTTCAAGGAGCTGCTCCCACATCAAAACAATTTGCAGTCCATATTAGCAAATTTATTGCAAAGTTTTACAGGCAAATAAAAGACCTACTTTGATCAATTCAATTCCTATGTTTTATTAATTTAAGATATCAATGAAAGTTGTTTTTGATAATATCAAACACAGCAAATTAGCAATGAACTGTTAACTCGCAGTTCGCTATGACACACAAATTTCTTACAATACTGGTTACTTTGCAATTATTCTGCCAAGTTCCATTCATAATTTTACAATGCATTTAGCATAAATGTTAATCTGCCAGCATCATCTTGTTGTTTCGTAGCTGGAAGAGACTTTTTATAAAATTAATTGTACGATTGACCATGCGGGTTGCTTCTTAAATTTGAACCATTTTTTGGTTTTCGTCGTATTTTGGTACCGTTTTGTTTTCCTTGTAGATTTTTGATTACCAAAATTCTACAAAATTGTTCATGTCAGTTTTTTTTTTTAAATTATTATTATTATTAAAACTGGTCTTATTAGACCAACCATTAATTTTAAAATAATATTATATAATAAATAAATGTTTACATTCTTATAAACCCACTGGTACAATAAGATTTACATTTCAATATGTCAGTTTAACTCATAAATTTTATTTATTTTTTTAAGGGCCGGCAAACTGCATTGGTAATCGGAAGCTTTTTTCCTTTTCTTTCCTTGGCTTTTTCGCGAATTAATCATATTAATTTCTTTTCCCGTTCCCTCAGCAAAGTTATGATCAAACCAGTGAGGAAGGTTATCAATTTTCTTTTTCCTACTGCTAGTCTCTCTGCACCTAATAGCTTAGTCAATTGTGGATGAAATGACACGAATAAATATAGTAAAAGAAACAACATGATAGTCTGGTTAGCATTACCAACTAACACTACCCCAGAGTACTCGATATTCCTCAGGGTAATTCGAGATAAGACCCTGTATTCACGCTAATAAATTATATTCACACTACAAATACAATTCATTTACACTATCCCACACTACTCCAAATTCCTCGGGGTAATTTGGGAAAAGCTCTTCCATTTCCGCTAATAAATACATTCGTTTAAGTAAATAAGACATTTTACATAAAGGTATTGGGTTGTCCGGAAAATAATGCAGGATTTTGGTATTAAACAAAAAAAAAGAAACTAGTTACTTTAAAGCAATGTTCTTTAATCAAAATAATTTCCCATACTCTCAATACATTTCTCCCAACGTGTTGGTAACTTATTAATTCCGTCTGAGTAGAATTCAGAATTTTTAGAATTGATAAAGTCAATAAATGCATTTT